TCCACTCATTCTCTCTTTCTCTTGATTAAAATTTCAAATCTCTTTCACATTTCTTTTTTTTCATACTTTCTTACTTTCATTTTAATATTTTTCTCTATTTATTTATTATCACTACAAATACTAATAATATATTTTTTAATTTAAAAAAATTAATAATTCATTTTATCTCACGGATTACTATCAACATAATATCTATTTTATTTTATTTTAATCAACCATTGTCTTAATTTGAGAGACACAATTCTTATTTCTAAATATTAATTTTTTTTCTTTAATCATCTCAGAGTTCTTTTTTTTTATATGATTATTTAATACAATTAAATTTATATAATTATTGTTAATTTTACAATTAAATTTATATAATTATTGTTAATTTTACAATTAAGTAAATCTTTTCAAATTTTGCATCTGTATATAAATACATTTCATATCGTATCAAATAATTGTTTGATCTCATAGGCCATTATCATCACAATGTCTATTTTATTTTAGTGAACAATTTTTCTTGATTTGAAAGACAAAATTCTTATTTCAAAATATCAAAATTTTCTTTTTTTTTCTTTCTTCTTCTCACGAGTTATTTTTTTTCTTCTTTTTGTATGATTATTTAATAGAATTGAATTTATATAATTGATTTTTATTTTACAATTAAGTAATTAATTTCAATTTTAAATTTGTAAATAAATATATTTTATATTGTATCAAATAAACTTTATATTTCACATGTCACTATTGACACAGTACATATTTTATTTTAATTAACCATTACTTTAATTTAAAAAATAAAATATTTATTTTCAAATATTAAAGATTCTTTTTTTCTTTCATCTCACGTGTTTTTTTTATATTTTAATACAACTGAATTTATATAATTATTGTTTATTTCAAAATTACCGTATCAAATAAATTTTTCAATGGCGGCGGCACTAATATTTGGCTGGCTGGTTTGTAATGAGAGTGAATGTGGTGCAACAATGGCTTAACGGTGAGCACTAAAGTGGAGAAATAAAAACGATGTAAAGAAGGTGAAAAGGTGAGCACCTAATTGGCTAATTGAATTGGAAATGAAAAAACTCACAATTAAAAATGCAATTATCTAATAATAACAATGACACACTAATAAGATACATAGATCAATCTACGTTTGACAACTAGGATGACTCAAGTTACCCAATTTTGTGCGATTGATGGATAAGAATTTGCGTTAAAAAAATGATTTTTTTAAAAAGGAAAAAAGAAAACTTTATTAAAGCTCATTCTAGGAGCATAAGAAATGCTGCAGAATGATATCATGATACATCCAGTACATGATACAATAATTCAGGCTCAGGAAAATTTAAACCAGTGCTTAATGCACCTGATCAAAAACAAAGAAATAACTGCTAAAACACCAACTCAAAAACAAAAGATTAAAATAAATACAAGGCTCCAAATACCCCGAATACAGGCAGCTGCCTTAAAACAGCTAACAACCTGACCTCAACGCCGAAGCTGAACCGAGAATTCGAGGTATCTGAAAAAGACTCTAAAAGCTAACGGCAACTAAAAAATCTTGATCACAAATAAGAGCACAAATGATCACCCAAACTATAGATCCATACCAGTAATTTCCTTATTCTGAAAAATCTTTCCATTCCTGGCCTTCCATATTACTCACACGCAAGTGAACCAAATCACTTCCAACTTGGAAGACGCCCGACTCCCTTTGCCCAACAACCCTCCAAACTACAAAAGGTGTCGTCGACCATCAAAATGCATAGCAGTGGACACTCCAAGCCATTAGTGGGCGCAACTCTAAACACATGCAAAAATCGGGCACTTGAAAAAATAGGTGAGATACAGACTCTTCGCCACCACACTCTCCCAAACACCTATCCGCACCCTGATCAAACACTCCCCTTTTAACAATATCGATAATACATGGCATGGTCTTGAAGATAGAAAGAAAGTAAAACGAAAGTAAGAATAAAACTGACTTTAATAAAACGATATGGTCCTCAAAGATAAGTACTTATTCTTCCAGCTTGAAAGCCTAGACTTCACAATCTCAATCACCTTATTCCAACTGCTTAACCTCTTTGGCTTCGCCCCTATCGGGATACCGAGACAATTGAGAGGTAGAACGCCTATTTTGCAATTAAGAATCCTTGCTGCCTCGCCGATCCAACATTGAGAACCATTTATTCCCACAATGAACTCTTTTGGAAATTGACCTTTAAACTCAACATAAATTCAAACAGCTTTAAGATTGCTTTTGGTTTTTATATTTACTCAACTGAAACCTTATGCTGCGATTAGGAATAAGAATGGTGACAATGAATCTCCCTGTCTCAGCCCACGACCCATTTTAAATTTCTTTGTTGGACTTCCGTTCACCAGCATTGAAACTGATGACGAATCCAAACATTCCTTAATCCACTTAATTCATTTATTGTGGAAACCCATTTTTTCCATCACAAACAATAAGAATTCCCAATCAACCTATTCATATGCTTTTTCAAAGTCCACTTTGAACATAATCACTTCTTTCTTCTTTCGCCTCGTCGACAATTTCATTTGCAACAATAACTCCGTCGAATATTTGTCTTCCAGATATAAATGTGGATTGATTTTCTAAAATAATTGTGATGATCACATTCCCAATCATTTATTGTGGAAACCCATTTTTTCCATCACAAACAATAAGAATTACCAATCAACCTATTCATATGTTTTTTCACATTCCACTTTGAACATAATCACTTCTTTCTTCTTTCGCCTCGCTTCGTCGACAATTTCATTTGCAACAATAATTCCGTCGAATATTTGCTTCCAAATATAAATGCTAAATGCTGATTGATTTTCTAAAATAATTGTGTTGATTACCCTGTTGGCCAACATCTTTGATATGACTTTGTATATGCACCTAATATATAAAAGGCCAAAATATTTTTTTAATGAAAAATAAAAAAATGTTAGTGTTAAGATTCAACACATGTAACCTTTCATTTATTATTACAGTTGATATAACTTATCGTGATGAAAAGTGTTACAATAAATAAATAAATAAATATATATATATATATATATATATATATATATATATATATATATATATATATAGATATATATATATAGATATATAGATTACACTTGGTATAACTAACCGTAATGAAAAATATGGTAATAAAATTAAAAAAAAATATATATAAAAAACTATATTTTATAGTAGTGGTTTTTTTTTTTAAATGATAGTACTTTCTAAAAATAGATTTGGCCGCATTTAACAGAACATTTAATGTAACTAAAAGCATATTATAATTTCAAAAGTAGATGCATAGGGCTTTTGGGCCCTCTCCAATTACTCAAATAAAAGAAAAGTAGCTGCATATGCATATAGATAGGCTTTAATAAATTTGGTAGGTGCACATGAGAATAGTATATCTCTGTGCTTTCATTAATCACGTGGTGTTATTTCTTTTTAATCAAAATTTCTATTATATAAGGTAGATGATTCATTTGTTTAATTTTTTTTATTTTTTTATTAATTCTAAAATCTCTAACATCTCAAGAAACCAATCATGAAAAATGCATCTATATTTTTGCCGACCACAGTAGAACATAGACTTTCAATTATGTGTAGTTTGGAAGCAAGCATCAATAATTGCTTTTGGGAAAATTAGTTTCAATATGAAAGCTTTGGTTTAATCACCAAACAAACAAAGAAAAAGATGCGACAAAGCAATGTCAACATCTAAGAACAGAAAATAGAATAGTAATAGTGTTGTTGACATTAACCACTCTCCAACCTCATATCTAGCTTTATCTAGTAACATCCTAATTCTTTGTTTTACCACACATAACCTTTGTTTTTGCATCTTCTTAAAGCCACCATGGGAAAGTAATGTTTCTAACTTAATTGATAAATACAAACACTACATAACAAAGTTGAATACTAAAAAAAATATAACCTTAAATCCAAAACGTCTAAATGATTGGTTGAATTGTTCATAAAATTTCATAGGATAAAATTGTCATGAAGTGTATTAGTAGATGTTTTAAAAATATAATTGAAAAATTGAATGGGTCTAATCTCTAGACCAACATTTAATTAGTTCAATCGATTAGTCATGACAATAAAATCCGATCTCACATTAGATTTAATGAAAAAAATGGTTTAATTAAGATAAATGCATAAAAATCTCAAATTTCAAAAACAAAACGAGAGTTTTTATATCCATCTTGCATCCGCCTATTTCCACCCAACCAACGCAAAAATACTAGATTGTTGTTGTATTTATTGATTTTGTTACATACTTATCTCGGACGAGGAATACTTAAAATAATTGTACGTGTTTTTAATTGTCATACCTATAATCTATTCAACCTTATTAGATAATTAAATAAAAACTCATTTGAATCAACCCTAGTTCAAAGCATTCAACATAACGACGGCGACAAAATGCTATTTGAAGGAATCAAGTAAATGGATTCAATTAATGAACTCCTCCTAGAACAATCCGTTTAGAAGAATTCGAATTCGATTTTTGATAGGAACACTTGGCTAGGTTTAACTTACCTCGCGACCGAACTCCAGATTACTAGGATTCATTTCTCTTAGAAATTAAAGATAAATATACAAAAAAACTATTTGAAGATGTCAATATAGTTATTTATCATTTTTATGATAAATAATAAATTGTAATTAATTCATTCCGCGACCACTCTATAAATTGTGATTAATTCATTCCGCGACGACCACAATATTACAACTATTAAACCGATCGATTTAATGAAAAAATTTAGACGACCACAACCATTATTTAAAACCTTAATAGAAATCAACCTAGTTGTTAGAAGGAACCAATTCTTAGTTCAACCTATTGAACCGTTCTATTTGGTTTGATTTTTAAACATTAGTACTAATATTTTCATATATGTATGTACCATGCCTCGTCAATTTAGGTGTGCTTTTACAATTCAAAAAGCTAAGCTAAGTATTTCCAAAGCAAAAGCCATTCATGGAAGCAGAGGAAATCTTGAAGCTCTTTGATACTTGTTGGTTTGGCCTTCAAAATTTAAAGAAACGTCAAAGTTCTTCAACATCAAAAGGTTCTCATCAAAGTAACGAAGAATCATCAAAAGAATCAAAACTTTCTCGAATCCGAACCAATCACACAAGGTCCATGAGTGACCAATTAAACAACATGACAACTTTCAAACATGATTCTCTTTCTCCAAAATCTGTCCTTTTTGAAACAAAGCTACAAACAATCCCCTCAGGCAAAGATGTCACGGACTACATAGAAGCCGAAAACCAAACACAGTTGCAGCTTCAAGTTTTGCCTAAGAAGAACATCGTAAGAAATAGGAGGAAAAGGGAAAGCAAGAGTTTATCAGACCTTGAGTTCGAGGAGGTAAAAGGGTTCATGGATCTTGGTTTTGTTTTCTCAGAGGAAGATAAAGACTCAAGCTTGGTTTCAATCATACCTGGGTTGCAAAGGCTAGGAAAAAATGATGAGGATTGTTCTGATGAATCTGTAATTCAAAGACCTTACCTTTCAGAGGCATGGGAGGTTCGGGAGAGGAGAATGAAAGAGAAGCCATTGATGAATTGGAAAATTCCTGCCCCTACCAATGATGTTGATATGAAGTATAGTCTCATGTGTTGGGCTCATACTGTTGCTTCCACTGTAAAATGATGAAGTTTGTGATTCAGTTTTTTTGCTTGTATCTTTTGAGGTTTCATTTGATTTTGGCTCCATTTTTTCATCTCAAAGTTTTTTAGTTGTTCTATTTTGTTCTGTTTTGAAATTTGCTGGAAATTCACATTCCACAAGCTTGTAAATTGTAATTTTGTTGCATGAGAAATAGCAAAAACCGGAAGACATGAATAAATTGGACTGGGACTAGTTGAAGGAGAGAGTCGCCAGAAACCATATGACTGTTTGGCCGATGAGGTGATGTATCATGTATGGAGTTACATTTTTGAGACAGGTATGAACTAAATTGAAGAGTTAATATATGTTGAAGTCCCTCGCCAGGAATTGTATATGAAGCAAAGGTTATTCGAGCTGAATATGTAGCTTTTGATATGCAATAACATTTTTTTGGATCGGTCAAACGGCCTAACAAGAACAATTAGCCCAACGAGCTCGACTAAACGCCAAAGACACAATTCAGATAATCCTTACAAGTGAATGATGAACAAGTAGATCTTTGCTAAAGAATAATATACCGGATGCAGACTATTCGCTCATCATCAGCTATTGTATTCAATTCGACGGACTCTTGCATTTTGCGTCATAATAGATATTTTTCATTCATCCTTGCAAGTTATGCATCTCTGAGCTTATTGATTGAGCGTTAGAGTGTTAACCTTAAAGATACACTCTTTTCTGTTGCATCGAGAGAGATTCATACCTACACGTCATCAATCTTCTGTTCCACATTAGAATAGTGGTGCCATTAGTGGAAATCGTCTTTTAATTCTCACGATTTTTCATGTAAAATCTATCGAGTCTTTTTTATTGCACCACCGCAACCGTTCTATTGTTTGATATATTCTCCATTAACTCTTTCCACCAATAATGGTAGCTTTTAAGTCAGCTCAAGTAGTCTTTCATCGTAATGTCGACGCCACAGTGGAAGTCGATGCACTGGTCCTCTCTCCCGCACAAGAAGTTCAACTTTCTCCTGCAACGGGAACCGATCCAGTCCTAGTAACTTCTCCAACCATCTCATCTCATTAGGCATTGGTTCTCCACCTATCGGTCGAAGCACTTTCCATATCTTGTCTTCCTTCCAACATGTTTCAATAGTTACTTCAAGGTTAAACCTCTAAGCAACCATAACTGCAAGTGCAAGTTCCTATATTAGAAATGTTCTAGAGCCTTCAACAACTTCAGGACACCCTTAGAATGCAAGGAGCGAATGAACTGATCACTACTATTTATAATTTGGTACAACATTATAATGCACATCTTCTGGATGAAAGGTTCCTACAAGTATAAGAAAATAAACAAATAAATCCATCTAGAGGCCACACACATTAGAAGGTAGCATTACGCGATAACCTCAGAGCCATGCCACAGGAAAATCATGACAACGTTGCCCTGCAACAACATAGGGTTCCTTGATTGCAAGAACACTGCCTTCCCAGGGCTCACCAATATTCCCCTTAATGGTTGTTAGTTCCATGGGTCTACGGTATAGAATTGTCCATGGTTCTATGATTGGCTAAATTGTGGTAAAGCATGACTCTGCACTAATGTTAAGCAAGATGTCATTACCATAGTTATGACATCGCTAAAAGAGCTAGCAGGGGTTAATGACAGTACTGTTGTCATGTGTTTTGAACAGATGGCATTACCAAAGCCATGACATCACTGAGCCAGCAGAGGCTAAAGAAAGAACTGCTGACATGGATGTCATTACCAAAGTAATGACATATGAATAACAGAACTGCTTTCATGGGTTGACATCTGGTGCAACAGGAGCTAACAAAAGCAGATGACATAACTGTTGTCATGGATGCAGCAGGAGCTATGTGCAACAGGATCTAGCAGAGGCTGACATCAAGGTCGAGTGCAGCAAGAGCAAGCAGGAGCTAGCAGAGGCTGAAGAAAGGACTGTTGTCATGGCTGTCATTACCAAGGTAATGGCATAGCTGTCTGGCACAACAGGCACTGCTATGGGTCAGCAGTAGCCTAGTTCCTCACAGGTTGAGCTGTGATGAAGTTCCTCACAGGCAATGTGAGGTGTGCAGCCACAACATGTTAAGTTGTGATGAAACTCCTCACAAGTAGTGAGTGAGGTGGGTTGTCATGTGTCATAAGCAGGACATCATTGCATGACAGAAGAAGGAGCTGCTAGTGTATATCTCTTGACATAATTGGTTTGGATTGATGATACCATGTTGAAAATACCTCATCAGTAAATATGTCAAGGAGATGGATTAGGAACAAGAACAGATTGTATTGGTATTCATAAAACGATCTTGGAGACCTTTTAGGAAACTTGAATATACTTGTTTCTAATGTTATTCTGCAGAAGATTGGGTGAAGGCAGGCCTGGCGTAAAGAAAAATCTGCAGAAGAGTGGATGTCATACTGAATGTCATGTCATTGATCGTATGACATCAGTCGTGCATGCATGTTGGTTTTCTGTTATCTCAGGCTAGATTTCAGGAAGACTTGTTATGACCCCTAAGTTATATCAGGAGAGATTCAAGGCAATGTTGACCATGTCATTACCTAATTGGACAACACCTTGAATTGTGAAAATTAGTTTTGATTAATTAAAACTAATATTTGTTAATTCTGCACAGCCCAAGCCCAGTCTGCACGACTATAAAAGGAGGAGCAGAAGCAAAAGAAATGCAAGCACTCACATCAAGAAAAATCAGAGTGTAAAATAGAGGTCTAAGGTTGAGAGTCCCTTGTGTGTAAGTCACCCTTTGTATCTTTTGATACATTGAGGTAGACATATTTGTAAGTGAAGAAGGCTAATCTTCACTTGTAAAGTCTGTTTAGGAATACTTGTAATCCAAGCAATTGTCTGGTGGATGATTGTTTTGGTTAGGTAGATTCTAGGTTGTGTCTCACTCGAAGCTGTGAAGCAAGAGTGTGTGAGTTCCTTGATCAAAGCTGTGAAGCAAGATCAAGGTGTGTATGAAGTGTCTCTTCATACTGTTTGTGTAATTTTTTGATATCAATGTTGTGTGATTGAGGGGGAGTGAGTGGGTATACTCAGGTGCTAGAGTGTCTCTAGGATGAAGTGTTATTGGATAGAGATTAAGTGAGAAGTGAAAACTGGAGGTTTGACTTTGAATTGATTCTACTAATAGTGAATTTCCTCCCTGGCTTGGTAGTCCCCAGATGTAGGTGTTGTTGATACCGAAATGGGTGAACAATTACTGTGTTATTTATTTTCTGCATTTACAATCCTGTACTTTAAATGGTTAGATAAATAGCATGACAGACTGCAAATGTCACAATAGAGGTCGTGACATTGATCATGACATTGGGACAATTTAAAGAAATTTAAATTGGCCATGGTTTGTCCTCATCCTTGTTGAGCAGAGATCAATGTTCTTGGAACACATGTGATCTGCATACCAGAATTTCAATTGGTATCAGAGCAGGCATCCTGTCTGTTCTGGATGAGATCTAGGGAGATACTTTCTGGTGTTTTGGAACAAGGAGAAGTTGTAGCTGAGTTGTTGATCTTGCTGAATGTTTGAGCTACTGCTTATGGAGCTAAGGAGTTCATGCATCTGCTGCTGTGCCCTCTGATATAGGAGCTTCTATAACCTGGTGATTGTGAAGGAGTGGCTACCTCTGTATGATGTCCTATAAGGGCATGTTGAAAAAGTTCTTTTGGTGGTTCCGCTGCATAATTTTCTGATGAAAGAACTCTGGTAGCCCTGGGAGAAGATTGGCCTATATTCAATCTGATGCATGGTTGTGGCAGCTGTGTAGATGATTGATAGGTGGTGCTTGCAGTTGTGTTTGGGTGTATTCCTGGGCTGTTATATTGTTTGCTAGAAGCTATGGAGAGAAGATAGTGGGAGGTGATTTATTTTCACCACTCATGACTTGCAAGGATTCTATCATCAGAAGAAGACATAGGCAGGTTAAGTCAAGGATGTCATCCTTGGTATTCCATGAAGTTCAGAGAAGGATCTATTACAAGGATTTAAGATTCATTGATATTTGAGATATTCTCAAACATTTAATGGATTATCCTTAGTTGATGATCAAGATGTCTTATCAGTAGCAGCACAAGCAAGAGGCCCCTGATTTGTTTGGTCTACTTCAAGAATCTGATGCTCAACCAGATGTTGAGACATTCAATCAGCAGAGATTGTTCAGAATTCTGTTGATCCATAGATCAAAGGAGATATAGCTGGATTTGTACTCATTCTATTAAGGTTCTTAGAAAGAAACTAAGGCTGGAATGGAATACTGATGGGAATGAAGATGAAGACAATCTGCTCTATAAGAGTATTGGAGTGCAGCAGTTGTGTTCTAGTCTCTACTAGAAGCGCCTGATCTATTAGCTAGAAAGGTTCCTGGCAAGAAACTTGTCTAGAAGATGGTGTTGGTGTTAGCACTGCTTAGGTCAGTTTATTTCTGATCTAAGTGCATAGGAGCATATGTCCTTGCTCAGCTTGGAGGTCAAGGATAAGTGGCAGTTATCTTTGATTTTCTGAAGAAGTCTATACTTAAGGAAAGCGGGAATCCTTCTGTAAAGACTTGTGTGATCCTTCCTCCCTAAAAGAATCAAGCTTTGGCATGTTTGGTTTCTCTAAAGAGGAGTTTCATGAAGCAAATGCACTTCAAGGTAATTGTTGTGGCACAACAAAGCAGGATTGAGGTTGCCTACTCCAACTGGATATCAATCCTATGTACTCTTGTTCTAATTGAGCAAAGAGAATCTCCTAAGTGGCAGAATGAAAGTATGAACTCTCTAGCTGAATGTCTTAACCAAAGTTGTGACATCAAGCAAAAACTTCAAGGCCTCAAGTGATGGTTGCGGGAGCTGTGTGAAGGAGTAGATACCTTGCTTTGGAGCAAGAAGAATGTGAAGATCAAAGTGGCCTGATGGATTAGCAGACTTTATAGAGCTCTGAAAAATGTTGAATAACCAAACAGTGGCATTTAGTTATTTAAGCAGTGTGCCTTTAGAGAACTATTCT